TTTTTTTAATTTTTTATGTTTATTACTAGTGATCCTTCTCTTCTCTACACTATCATGTACTTTGGGTGAACCATCTTGAGCACCAGCCCAAACATACAATGAATCACCTACTAATACTGTCTCATGATAAGCTCTTTTATTCAGTTGATCTATAATATAGCAATAATAGTAATAGATCTATTAGTGCTAATCTCACTTACTTAGTTTAGAACCAAACAACCAAGCCATAATTAGTGCAAGGGCTAAGCTCAGCTCAGAGCTAACTTAAGCTCCTCCTAACTTACTGGATCATGTGAGAGAATTTGCAAATTATGGGTAGAGCTGAATTATTTTTTGCAGGGACCCGATAAAAGTTTACTAGATAAAAGCATAGATATTATGATAAAAGTAGGAGTAGGAGGAAGTCATCCGCCCACGCAAGTGAAATTAAAAGTTTGAAATAATGTGTTAGTCTGGCGCAGCCAGACCCCTTTTTGTGTTAGTCAGGCGAGGGTCAGGCCCCGCCTGACTATTTTTGTGTAGGGTAGTTGCTAAAATTTTTTAAAAATAATTAAGAGTCAAAACATTTACAGTATGACTAGTCTAAGATATTAAACTTTTTGTCATTTTGATTGTGTATTAACAAGAGTATTAATGACTTTCATGTGAACAACTCTAACAAAAAGTTTTAAAAGAATTATTTAAATTTGATTTATTCTACTTTAAAAGTAAAATAATTTAAATTGCAGCCAATTTTACTTAAAATGCTAGCATTAATTACTACACACAAGTGCAACAGCTTCATGTAGATCTACACAAATTACTGATGTAACTGTAAAAATTGGATTGGAGGCACCTACAACTAAAATGTCTATGTAGCTAACTTGATGCCAAAAAATTTTTAACGACAACATTGGTTTCTATCAGTGAAAGTAACTGCAAAAATTACTTCCTCTGTAGAATTTGCATGAGTTTCATGCCTTTTATGAGTTAATTTATAATAGTAATTTGGTATAAAGTATAAGCAGTGTGTTATTTATATTAAGTTGTACTATAAAAATCCTTTCCTTGCGCAGTTGTTTCTGAAATAATTATAAGTTTAATCTTGTATTTGTAGATATAGCTAAATATTAAAGTCAGTACTCTGAATCAAATTTGTAGGTTGAGTTTAATTCTTTTTAAATGTTGCCTATTAGTAAATTGTTTTGTCTCTGTATTCTGTTCTAGTGTTTGCATGTGAATAATTATGACATTTTAATAAGACAAAATCAAGTTAAAATAAAGATTGCTAAATCACTTCATCATTTTTAAACTCTTAAAATAGTGTGCCAATGAAGTGCACTCAGTAAGGGTATACTGTAAATTGGCAATGGCAATAGCAGTACATGTAGGTAAATCTACTCTACCAGTAGCTTAGTGTGTTCCAGCTGCAATAATTTTTACTAAGTCATCATAAGCACAACAACTGTGACCCTGTAGGCCTGTCCTATAGGATTTTTGACCAAAGTTTGCAAGAAAAATTTGCCATTTTAAAATATTTTCTGGTGCATATATTTGTTCTTATATTGCATAGAAAGTTTGTTTAGGTTTTTTTGATTTTTAAAATTACTCATACACCAGGCCAAAGTTTCTATATTAAAGTACAGCCTTACAAGCAAAATTTTCCAAAATTGAAATAAAGAAAATTTACTATTTATATAATTCTTATGATTTACAACATGTTTTCAAAAGTTTGAGTTGATTCAGACCAAAATTATTTTTTTATTAAATTTTAAATTTGCTCCAACAGCCATGTACATAAAGTACTTGTATCATTGTATTGGTCATAAAGACACACATTGCATATTATTCTTTGTCACTGTTTCTGTAGCATAAAGTGTTTTTAGCTTAGTAACTGCAAAGCACTTAGCTTGATTTCTTCAATGTTATACCATAATTATTTCTTGAAATAAAGTTAATTATTTTAATGTAAAATTGCTACTAGAAATAGATTTAAGTGTAGATTAGACCTAAACGGAGGATTATATCAGTGTAGGCAAACTAAATTTACAACGGAATACCAGCCATATACATGTAAAGCATTATTAAAATTTTTCAAACTTCAGCTATATGCAAGGACAGGCTCATTTAGATCTTTTTACGGCTTATAGCAGTTAATTTTGCTTATAAGAGATGGCACTCACCTTTTAAGGAATATTACTACCTCACTATTGACTATATTTTGTATTGTACACTTTACAAGATCCTGTCTTATAGCTTTTCCCAGGGCCAAGAGTACTTGGATGCATAATATGATAACAATTAAAATAGAATAACATTAAAAGATCAAAACTGGGGCTTTACATTAAAATAAAAAGGTCATAAAAAGGGTCAGACAATAAAACAATAAAACATAACTAAATATAAATAGCTATAGTATCTCCAGATTGTATTTACTTTAGTGTAAAATTAATCAATGAAAACAGTCAAAATATACCCGTCTCATTCACTTCAAGCAATTAAAGTAGCCAGCGTCTTCATTACTACTGCATCATTGGGGTCTTCATAAAAGCAATCAACGTAACCATCATTAGAATCTTCCTGTAAACAATCAACATAATCATCCTTATCATTAGAATCTTCATGTAAGCAATCAACATAATCATCCTCATCATTAGAATCTTCATGTAAGCAATCAACGTAACCATCATTAGAATCTTCATGTAAGCAATCAACATAATCATCCTTATCATTAGAATCTTCAGGTAAGCAATCAACATAATCATCTTTATCATTGGAATCTTCATGTAAGCAATCAATGAAGCCAGTGTTTTCATTTCTACCTGTATGAAAATTGCTTGTACACACAGTTCCTCTCAAAGTTCTATTCTTTTTTATTTTTACATATTTTTTGGGAGACATCATCATGGTATTAAACTGATAGACAAGGTCTTCAAAAGTTGGTCGTCTCTCAGGCTCTAGTTCCCAACCTAAAAGTGGATCTTAACTTCATTAAAGTAATTTTTAATTATCTCAATAGCCTTATTACACAAATAAAAGGATGTGTCACTTGCTACATAAACTGACAACTATTGTGCACTAGTTGTTACATGATAGAAATAATACAGCAATTCAATATCTTCATACTATGTTGTTAAATTTATGCAAAATAGCTCTCTGTACAAAGGTCAGATTATCAGATGGTACTAATATATAACCATGCTGCACTTACAATTCCGCAATGTTTTGTAAAATTCTAGTGTACACGTTTTAGGCTGTTTCAATCTGTCACCTTTTTCCAGCAGTTTCAGCAGCTCAAATACACTTTTGCCCTAAGAATGTGAAGCATTGTGATAAGATTAAATTCACTGCATGATTATAC